TACATTTCCTTTAGTATTTTACAGATTCTGCTCAAATTGTAATCCCCTGTTACGAATACACGCCCGCATTCTCTTACGTAATTCACTTTTGGTAACTCTAGTTGTTAAGCGGCTTTTTATTTGGTCAGCTGCACTGATTATCCTTGTAATTAATTCATCGCGCGTTGGTACGGGCGAAACATCGTACACCAGGCTTTTCATATGTCCCCACACATAGTAATCCATCGGTGTGAGATCTGGGCTTCTTGCTGGCCAGGCAATGGGCCCGCCTCTGCCAATCCATTGATTTGGAAATTTAGAGTCTAAATACGCCCGTACTAATCTACTGTAGTGTGCGGGACAGCCGTCGTGCTGGAACCGCATATTTTGTCTCGTCGCCAATGGGACGTCTTCCATTAATGGAAACAAGTGATTTTTCAAGAACTCTTCATACACTCTCCATTTAAATTGGCGGGCAGAAAATGAGGTCCAATTAAATATCCATCAATGATGCCCATCCACACATTGACTGAAAACCGTCTCTGAGACCCCGTCGGTCTTATTTTTCGAGGGTTTAAAGCTTCTTTATCAGCCCAGTAATGAGCATTATAGTAGTTAGTGATCCCGTCCTTATCAAACCTCGATTCATCGGTCCACAGAATTTTCTTAAAATAGTCTGGATCTTCTGTATCTGCATGTAACATGTACCTGCAGAAATCTAATCGTCTTGCAGGATCGCCCTCTTCAATCACATGCACAGGCGTGTAGTGATAAGGGTATAATCTTGCGGTATGCACAGTAAACCATACTTTGTATTGTGATATACCCAACTGAGCAGCCACAATGCGCGTAGACGTAGTAGGGTCTTCCTGAAACACACGAAGGATTTCCTCTTCATCTTCAGGAGGATAGACTCGGGGTCGACCAGCATCACTATGTTGCCTTTGAACACGTCCGGTTTGGCGGATGCGCCGATACACAGAGTCAAACACAGTAACATGAGGTGTTCGGCGATTCGGGAAACGTTGCCGATATTCACGGCGGCCAGCTGCAGAATCGCCGTTACAAAGTCCATAACAGAAAATTATGTCTGCGTATTCTTCATTTGTAAAAGTTTGCCCGTGCTCGCTATGGCGAGGTCGTGGCGGATCTTCTGCGTCTGCCATGATGATAAAGAAACCACTCGAAATGAACTGGGAAACTCGAAAATAACCTGTCATGTTCATACTTACAGTCCTGTTCCGCAAACCAGGTGGAATTTGCTATCACAAGCAAATGGAAAGAAATTGTTGACCATAATGTGTCGTTACGTTGTCCCAAATGCTTTCAGCGTTGTTATTTGTCTTAGGATCTTAGTCATCACAAGCTTAATACAAGTTACCATCACAAGCAACAGAGTTCAGTATTGAGTCGTTATCCCAAACGCCTTCTTTCGTCATTGGCGTGGAGATGACTATCACAAGCCAGGTCCACGTTGCTATCTCAAACAACTGAGCCCAATGACGGAACGCCGGTGACGCATCCGCACTAACATTTACCTAACTTCATAAACTACCTACTAATAGAATAGTTGACAATGACGTGATTGTGACGTCCCTTCAGAAAAAGAGGCCGGCACGCCACTTTATGAGTCTGCATCTACAGTATATTCAGATAAGAGATAGACCGGATGTAAACAAAAGGTTCGGGTGATTTTCACGCTAACGCCGCCGTCTCGACGTAAAACAGGAGCCCTCATTGGTCAATTCGCAATTAAATGCCTATGCCGAGCGGCAGAGCAGTCGTATCAAGGCAGAGTCACATTCAGGTTCAGACGTGTTACGTATGTCGTGTGCATCATTGCAATTTGATATTTCTTTGGACGTTTTCGTTTGTTATCTTATTAAGTTGTTGATTTTGTCGTTGTTATTGTTATACCTTGTTATTGATTGTTATTGTTATCAACTGCTTGCGCAAAATGCCCAGTAGTACAGATACTGCCGATGAAGTTGTAAACTCCTGTAGTCCACCTAGGAAACGCTCTAAAAAAAGACACCTGAGTGCAGAAATGAAAGAGATCATTTTGAATATATATATAAGATCGAGCGCGAGGAGAACGAGGCATCAACCATCAAAGAAATTGTTGTGAAGGTTTCTCACAAAGTTGGGGTGTGTCACGCATCAGTGTTTAATGTGTTAAGACAATACAAAAAAAATCACACCTTTTCTGAGCCAATGACCAGTAAACATCGCAAAAGTATTGTTAAATCATTGGATGAAGCTGATAAGCATGCGATTAGGAGGAAAGTGCATGAATTCTTCTTTAGGAATGAAATACCTACTATAGATAAAGTACTGCAGGAGGTAAATGGAGATACAACGTTGCCAAATTTCAAACGATCAACTTTCCATGCGTTACTGAAGCATTTAAATTTCAAATGGAAAAAACGGGGTCGTAATAGTTTACTACTGGATAGAGAAGAAATCGTGCTATGGAGGAGGGATTATTTAACAAAAATTGGGAAATATAGAAATCAAAACAGGAAGATTTATTACCTTGATGAAACGTGGGTAAACGCAGGACACACTACAAGTAAAGTATGGGTTGATGATTCTGTAACTTCATCCAGGAGGGCCTTTCTAGATGGACTGTCCACCGGATTAAAAAATCCAGCAGGTAAATACGAGTAATAGACAACAATCGGATGTTTTTCAAACCTTGGGAACAAGGTTCTAAACATTAATTTCAGGGGGCAGATAAAACATATTACAAGTAACAAAACTTTTATAACTTTCGATAAAATGCGTGGATGTTTTATTGTCATTTTCATTTGTTAGAACTTTTTTAAGCCATGTTTTTATGTGTTTTCAAAATAATAAAATAAAATAAAATATGTCGAATATTATAAACTTAAAAAAAGTTACTAAGTTTTATATTGTGTACCGTTCCTAATATTTCTAATCATTTTAATTCATACTTTAAGCTTTATAAAGTTATAATTTGTTAATATTAATATTTGTGCGTATATCAGGTTCCTGATCATTCATTTTTTAAAGGTTTATAACTTTAAATTAAATTGTGAAGCGCTGAGTAATCATACGACGTTCAATATTCTTTCTTTCAATATGACTAAATAATCCCAATTATAGCAATCTGATACTCATGTCTCAATGTTTTTTCGCTGAATATGATGAAAACATTTGAAAAAGGTTCGCTTATTGAAATAAATCTACACCAGTTAGTACTTCGATTTCCAGGTAAAGGGAAAAGTCTCATTATCTGCCATATTGGCAGTGAGGATCGATTTGTTGTTGACGGTCTGTGGTGCTTTGAGTCTAAGAAAACTGGAGATTACCACGAGGAAATGAATGGCGAATCGTTTGAACAGTGGTTTTCAAAAATTTTACCGAACTTTGAGGAAAACGCAGTAATTGTGTAGGATAATGCGCCTTATCATTCTCGAAGAATGGAGAAGGTCCCAACAACGGCTTCAAGGAAAGTTGATGTTCAAAATTGGCTCCGCTCGAAAAATATCAACTTTGAAGAAGCAATGCTGAAAGTACAATTATTAAGAATTGTCAAGGATCACAAGGCGGAATATCAAAAATACGCCATTGACGAAATGGCAGCAAGTCAAAATAAAACTGTGCTCCGTTTACCTCCATACCATTGCGAGCTCAATCCCATTGAGCTCATATGGGCAGAGGTTAAAAATTATATAGCTAAGCACAATACAACTTTTAAATTTTGTGACCTCAAAGGACTTTTCAAAGAAGCACTAGAATTAATAACAGCGCAAAAATGGGAAAACTGTATTAAGCACGTGAAAGACAAAGTTGAAAAGAGAATGTGGGAACTGGACAATATTTTAGAGGAACAAGTCGAGCCATTCATTATAGACGTTGGTGCTTCAGGCAGTAGCGATGATGAAAGCTCATCAAGCTCATCTTTCCAATAAAAGATGTCGTTCATCAAATTCGTTAAGTTATAAGTAATTATAAAGCTACTGTATTTTTTAATTAATTATTGACATTTTTGAACCCATTTTGGCAAAACCTATTCAAGAATCTACTTTCTGACAATGTTCAACCATGCACATTTTTTTACGTGTTGAACGTTTTAATTTGATTACATTTTTACCTAGAAATCAAAAAATATACTAATCAATATTCTAAAAGCAATTTTAAGAGATATACGATTATTTTTAATTTAGGCTAATTTAAACGCCATTTTGAGATTATATTCGACTGTATTTCACCAAACATCAGGCGGCATCCGAAGCTGGAAATCGAAGCGAAAATTTTGAAACCCTTATGTATATTTACATCATTATATATTTCTTACCCCACCCCCACATGATCCTATATCCATCACCAATCGTATACACATCGAATTGTGCTAATTTACTACAAAGTTACGCAAAGCAGCATCTACTATCTAAAATATGTACTGCGTGACTCTTAATACGTCCCTGCCGAATGTTACAGCGTTCGATGATCACGTGGTCTTGTTTATGTCCGGTCTATCTCTTATTTGAATATACTGTAAGGCGGTTGGTGATCCACGAATACACCGCTGCTATATTTCGTATCCGCGTCGAAAGAAACACAGAAGGTGTGTGCACATCATAATTATCGGCCCACCTTCGCTCCAGCTTCTAATATTTGTGTTGAGCGATTGCTCGTTTGAGGAGCTGTTCCTTTGTCGTTTCTTATGTTTGAGCACCTCGACACTAGTGAAAATGTAAATTATGATGAACGAAGTCGAGTAAGTCGACGTGTTTCGCGTGGCACGAGAACAAGGAATGAAAGTTTGTAGACCAGGGGCCTGGTAAGAGGAAGTTGGGAGGGCGCGGTTGCCGCGTTTTGCACGGGGAAACAGAGGGCTACACCTGTTCTATTTACGAGACGAGGCGGAAACATAATGATATATGTATGCATGGGTTCAATTTTATAACAATAATATAGGAAACCATAAATTGCTGCATTCGTAGGAATAAATCCATGTGCAATTCAGGTGCAAACACATACATACTCGTATATTAATATTGACAAATGTTAGGCTCTGTTACTTTCGTGCTCACCAGCATCTGTTCCTTGACACATCTATGCTGCGCATCGTACGTATTTTGACACTCTGCAATCTCTTTTTCTGTTTCTATGATTTTGAAAGCAGCCTGCGACTCTGTTTCCTTCAACATCATTCCGGTCTTGAGTTCGTTTCTCTGTTGAGTTAATTGATTGAATTTCATCGTGAAATCGTAACGGATCTCGTACATCCTGTACTGTAGCAGATTCATGATTAGTTCCGTTTTTTCCACGATCCTTATTCGCTCCTGGATGTTCTCCTTCATTTCGCGAAGGTCGCTTATGATCAAGTCATATTTGTTCTGGATGGAGCTGATGTCTCTGTAATTTCGATAAACACATAAACACTCAGAAAGCAATATATCACAAATTCAGTCGCGTCTTGAAAAATGTCATTATGTCAATTTTTGACATTATTTAGGTTTTTGTGACACTATGTAGATTTTTCTACAATATATCAACTTGGAACTATACTCTGGGCGCTGAAGAAAGACATTAAACGTAAACAGTGATCAGCACGTGAACAGATCCCTCGAAAGCATCCACGGATATACTCCAGTCACTTTAGGTCTAAACATCCTCGGCAGTGTATTTCTAGTGAATCCACAGACCCTTTTTCGTGTCATCTTGAGACTAGAAAAAGGATGACTGTTAAAATAAGTTACCTTGATCTTTCATGAGCTCCCAGTACAAAACATCATCGATATATTTTTGATGTAGGAACAACAAATTGGTTTAGAAAACATCCACTTTGAACCTAAATTGACTGGAGTAACATCGATCTACAGACAAATTCAAGGTCACTAGCAGTCGTCGGCGCTCTACGAATCTGCACAGGTTTGGACTTGGAAACGTGATTGTAGATGACACGACAGGCATCTAACAGTTAATTCACGCACAGGATTGCATTGCATACGCATTACGCATTCAGTAGCGTATACTCGTTTTTCGCGAGTGGAACGTTTTGTTTATATATTGCCTAAGATACGATGTCTGACACAGATACAGCCGACGAAGTGGTTGACATCAGCGCAATCCCACCCAAAAAAGGGCTAAGAAGCTACATTTAAGTGCAAATGAAAAACAAATAATATTAAATATATACAAAAACCAAACCCGATTTGGTCGTGGACGAAGTTATATGTAAGGTAGCACATATTTCTGGAGTATGTCGGTCCAGTGTTTATAGGATCATTAAGGAATATAGGAGCACTCACTCACTTTCTGAGCCAAAACCGTATCCTGCAAGAAAAAGGATAACGGACGGAGTAGATGACTTTGACAGAACTGCCATCAGGAGGAAAGTGCATAATTTTTTCTTCCGAAATGAGATACCTACAGTAGATAAGATATTAAGATTAGTTAATGCTGATGAGGATCCTCCATCATTTAAAAGAACCACATTCCGAAAACTTTTGAAGGAACTTAATTTTCGATTCTTGAAACGGGGAAGAAACAGTATGTTAATAGAGAAAGAAGAAATTGTTGTGTGGAGAAGGGAATACCTTAGGAAGATTCGGAAGTTTCGCGATGAAAAAAGAAAAATTTACTATTTGGACGAAACGTGGGTGAATGCTGGACATACTCAAGCGAAAGTTTGGGTCGACAAATCAGTAACATCATCAAGGCAGGCTTTTCTAGACGGTCTTTCGGCTGGATTGAAAAATCCTGCAGGTAAGCTCCTTCATCTATCCGGCAATTTAATTTTGATAAATTCGGGCAAATAATATGCTGTGATAGCAGATAATGTGTGATATTCTCCAAAAATGGTGCATTCGCAGTGTAGTCATTAGGAAAAAAACTTCGACCCTCTTTTAAGCGTTATTTTGAAATTTATTATCATTTTTGGGTGCAGTCAATTTGCTTTGAATGGGTTTTGAGAAGTTGCAAACTTCAATTTTCTACGTTTTTCAGTTTTTGATCAGCATTCCGTGACTCTTAAATTCAGCTAAATGAACTCAATTGCCTCATTCCTTCAAATTTATTCAATCCATAGAGTAAGGAATAATTTATTTCCAGGAAAAGGCAAACGGCTGATCATTTGTCACGTAGGTAGTGAAGACTGCTTTGTTCCCGAAGCACTGTGGGCCTTTGAATCAAAAAAGACAGGGGACTATCATGAGGAGATGGACGGCAATTCCTTTGAAAATTGGTTCTCCAAAATGTTACTAAAACTGGAGAATAACGCTGTTATTGTACTGGATAATGCCCCGTACCATTCTAGAAAAATAGAAAAAATTCGCACAATGGCAACTAAAAAAGCAAACATACAACAATGGCTGGCCTCAAAACAGATCGATTTTGATGAAACAATGGTCAAGGGTGAATTGATAAGTATAGTCAATAGACATAAATACAAATACGATTTTAAAATGATCGACGAAATGGCCAAAAAACACAATAAAACTGTCTTGAGACTGCCACCCTACCATTGTGAGCTGAACCCTATTGAGCTGATTTGGGCCAACATAAAGCAATACGTGGCGTCGAATAATAATACTTATAAATTTTCTGATGTTAAAAATCTCTTTCACATCGCAGTCAATAGAGTTACGGCAGAGGAATGGAAAAACTGTATCCGCCACGTTTGGGAGAAGGTTGAGGTCAAAATGTGGGATTTGGACAATGTCATCGATACCCAAATTGAACCTCTAATAATTCATTTAAACGATTCAGAAGATTCAAGTTCCTCTTCTGAATGAGTGCGCGCAGCTTACTTACTAATAACTAAAAAGTGTAGTTAACTCATTTGTGAATCTCTAACTGAAATTTACTGTAAAAGATAATAACTATCTTGTATGAAATTTTTGATGACTACCCATAATATCTTGATGCGGTCCTGTAATGTCTCCTGCGCCTAAACACTCACTCACGAGCAATATGCGTGTATTTGTTTGGGTTTAGTTTCTTTCTTCAGCGCCTAGAGAATAGCTGTTGTTCACTTGATGTGCAGTCGTTCTGTAGCTGAACCTGTTGCCTAAACTTAGCACTAGCTCTGCTGTGTACTCTTTCCATAGCTGTACATGTTGCCTAAACGTCATTCGCACATTTCGCAAATTTGCTGAATTTCAAAAAAGATAGCGATAAGAAAAGAAAATCCTAGTTGGTGAAGTACGTGGTGGACCAGAAGGACGTACCAATTTCAAAACCGCACGCGGCAGCGGGACACGGGTAGTGGAGATAAGTAGCGTGGTGCTCGGAAATTTAGTCGCCATGGAGCGTTCCACCGGTGAGCAGCATGCGTTCTGTGTTAAGGCTTATAACAAAAATGGAGATTCGCTCTGAGTTTATTTTACATTATCTAAATCAATGTCATGGTGAAAGTGTGATAAGGTCATGGGTCAGAACGTTCGAGTCTACCGGTTCAGCACTGAATCAGAAACCAGCGCGTCCAAGATCAATACGAACAGTGGAAAATGTAAGCGAAGTTGCGACGTCCGTACGGCGCGAACCAGTTATCATCCCGAAAGAGATCAGCTGAGCTTTCCATATCAAGAATATCTGTAAAGGCGGGCTTACACGCTACGTCTTAAAGTACGTTTTTTCGGGCGTACGACAAAACGTAGGTTTTGTCCAGTGTATATACACTACGTGTTTTACCTTCCGCTTTCTACTACAGTTCCAATATAAACTCTAGAGTTGTGTGAGGTGTAGTCAATTTTTTTTTGAGAGACTTTTTTTATTATGGAGGAAACACTACTGCTTTTGCAACTGTAAGGATACAATGACTAAGAGGAAAAGGGTTGTAGAGGGAAAAGACAAGATGGTCAAGGGAATGGCTTCTGAAAAGAAGCTAGTATTCCCACGTCTCGTTATTGAAACAACTGAGAAGCCAACTTGATGACAGCCGCAATTATTTCCGAATTGTGAATTGCTAGGGTTAGTAACAGAGATGTCTGATCCCCTCACTTTTTTCAACTCTCTTTTGTAAACCGATCTTAACGAGTTTATTTTTTTTGTACCAGTCTTTTTATTTGCCATAGGGTCTATTTCTTTGGATTTTTTATAAGATCCTCATAGGCGTTTTTTTTTTTATTACGGTCACTATAGTCTTTATTTTTCACTTTCTACAAACACGGAAAACTTATACATTTTAATGAATTCCCCGAGAAAGTCGTGGGTGCATTGCCGCAAGTCTAACATTATTAGGTTTTTTGGGGAATAAGGAAGCGAACTGAAGTGGAGCAACTCGTGAACTGAGCCAAGATCGGACGTCTTGTCTGAACATGAGTCTACACGTTTCGTTTTGTCCTACCAGTTCTCGCAAAATGATTCTTCCATCAGTTTTTCAATCTGACCTTGGATGTCATTTCGATTCGACAAGACGTACGTTTTGCTATTTACAGTTTTATTGGATACGATTTGTCCTGTCTCACAAAACATACAATAAGACGTAGCGTGTAAACCCACCTTAAGGCGTATTTTAGGAAAAAACCTTAAATTGCACTCATATAAACTTAGTACCACCGACTACGCCGTGAATTTGCCAAAACAATGCTAGAGCCCTTTCCAGGTTTGAAAAATATTCTCTTTTCTGATGAAGCTCATTTTCATTTGAGTGGATTTGTCAACAAGCAAAATTAACGAGTATTGGACCACAGAAAATCCCAAATTAAAACACCAACGACCTTTGCATTCGCGATATGTTACAGTCTGGGCATCCATGTCGGCTGAAGGATTGATCGGGCCCAATTTCTTCGAAAACGAGCAAGGACATACTGTAACATTAAATTCCAATGTTACGTAACTTTTTCTTTCAACAACTGCATAATTTTGAAGCCTACCATAGCAGGACCTGGTTCAAACATCCCATACCGCCAACGAGTCTTTAGCAGATGTAAACGAAATGTTTAGTGAAATACTGATATCGCGACTAGGGGACATTCCTTAGCCTCCCAGGAGCCCAGATCTCACGCCACTTGCCTTTTTTTCTCTGGGGATACCTCAAGAGCCGCGGTTAGACAAGGAGTGCATACGTCTCGATGGATCACATCTCAATGATGTTATTTTTAAAAATAAAATTCTCATGTGTCTACTTTATTAAAATTATATACTAAGTGACACATAAATCCGAACACCCAGTTTAAATGGTTTTATTTTAATAAAAGTTGGTGAATGTATTTATCTTACTGTAAATAACAAGTGAAAAATTTTTCAGCCTTATCAGTTGGACATTCCGGTTTTTATACTTTTTTTTAATTCACTAACGCTCTAAAAATGAATATTTCAGCCGCAGTAAAGAATCAACGTTGGCGGATTTTGGTTCTTGACATCCTGTACGATCGGTTACCATGCTTGGAGTACGGAGACCTGTACGATTTCGTCAACTTAGTGAGTTTGATAGGGGCCGTATAGTGGGACTTCGGGAAGCTGGACTTTCTTTTCGGGCAATTGCAGTTAGAGTGCAAAGAAGTGTAGACACTGTGGTTAGGTGTTGTCAGGCATGGCTTCGAGAAGGCCGTACGCAAAGAGCACTGGACGCCGCCGTAGAACAACAGACCATGAAGATCGCCGCCTAAGATTATTGGCCTTAAGGGACCGTTTCTCCACTCCCAGGTCCATTGCAAATGAATGGTTTGCAGAACACGGAAGACCTATTGTCATGCGAAATGTTTACCGACGAATGAGAAGTTTTGGCTTGTTTTCATACCGGCCACACTGGGTCCTCCCTTTAACTCGAGATCACCGACGTAATCGCCTTGAGTGGTGCAGACAACGGTCACTCTGGGATCAGGAATGGAACAGTATTGTCTTTAGTGACGAGTCTCGATTTTGTTTAGGCATGCACGATGGTCGTGCGAGGGTTAGAAGGCGACGTGGTGAAAGGAGGAATCCACAGTTTTTTGTTGAAAGACATGTTCATCACACTGTTGGAGTTATGGTTTGGGGTGCTATAGCTTATGGTTCCAGGTCACCTTTAATCTTCATCAGAGGTAACATGAACGCGCAGTGTTATATCCACGAAGTTCTAGAACCCCATCTTGACACCCTGGCAGATCCAACTTTCCAACAAGATAATGCCCGACCACATGTTGCAAGAGTCACAATAGACTTCTTTCAACATAATGATGTCACATTGTTACCATGGCCACCAAGATCTCCCGACTTATCCCCAATTGAGCACGTGTGGGATATGATGGGTAGGAGATTGCTCAATTTGCAACGTCTTCCTCAGACTCTAGAAGCACTTCGAGACGAGTTGGTGGTTGCCTGGAATGAGATACCACAGGAGGACATTGACCACCTGATCAGAAGCATGCCTAGGCGCGTTGGAGAATGCGTAGCACATCAGGGTGCATCCACACATTATTAAAGGTCAAAGGGCTTTAAAGCAGTGCAATCATTTTGAAATTTTTATCATTTACTTATTATGCTTCATTGAGTACTTATACAAAATTTTATTAAAATAAAACCATTTAAACTGGGTGTTCGGATTTATATGTCACTTAGTATAAATTATCTTCCCTACGCTTTGTAGTTTTTTTCTATGATTTCTCAAAATCTGCTCAGCTTAATGGCTCACCCTATATATTAAGACTGACAGTTGAGAAAATATGGTACTTACAGGAATATTTATGAAACGTAAAAAAGAAGTTATTACACTTCCCATTTAAATTTTATACATATTTATTTTACGATGTCAAACAAGAAATACAAATAAGCGCCTAGATGTGAGGCAGTGCGAAAATGTTTTGTCTGAGATGCGTCATTCCTAATTTTTCTGTGATGTGGCTTAATTACACTCAACGCGGAACTAGTGCTGATTTCGCGCAATGCAGAAAAAATAAAAGTGAGTTTGGGATAATTTCAAGGCCTATCTAAGAAATTCTGCTTTTTCGAAATAACTTTGTGTAACGCGGTGTATTATACATTATATGGGATCAGAATTGAAAACTGTATTCATCTGTGCAAATGTCCAATATGGAGTCGATAAGAAAAAATAAAGTTGATGCTGGAGGGCAAGGGACTAAACGTCATATTGAAATTTTAATTTTTTCTTCTTGTAGAGGAGACAAAGTGGCAATGTTAACCCTTTCAAGCCCAATTTTTTTAACAAAAAAAAAAAATTTGTCTTTTTCTGTGTAATTATGGTCTAAAAATTACGGTAAAAATGTTTTTTTTGAAAACAATTTTTTTTTTAGGAGAAAAAATGATGACTCCATTTGGAATCAGTGGGCGTAAGATAAGAAAAATGTAAATTGATAATGGTTTATTTTAGATTTAATTTTAGTTATAATAAAAGAGTAGTAAGAGTAGTAAACATTTAAAATTACTGATTATGGAATTTAATAAAACAATTTTTTTCCGTTGACAAACATATGTTGCATTTCATGCAAGAAATTCTCGTATACGATTTGATGCAATTCCTACATCTCTGCTTTGGTTCTATGTGTTCTGGCCAGTGAGAAAATCCATCAAATCTCACATCATCTATCGGTCTGGGCACAACAAGTCGTTTTCGTGGAGGCTGTTCAACTTCTGCATCCGACGGGCGTCCTCTTCGCCGTAATGGTGCATTCTGTTGCAACATTGCATGAGCAACTTCAGCTCTGAAAGTGACCAGTTGTTTAAATTTTTTGATTCCTCTTGCTGAACAGTCTCTCCTGTACAAGAGCCATGCGTTGACGATGCAAATATCTATTAGATGGTAAATTATTCGTAAATAATAACGTCTAACTCCTATTTTGATTCGGTACAAGGAGACGAGCATGTCATTTAAATCAACGCCACCCATGTATTTGTTGTATATTTGGATAGCATACGGTTGAGGGAGATCAATGAACTTTTTCTCTGATGAAGACCATCTTTTGACATTTTGTATAGGCTGCAGGCCTATATAAGTTGAGACGTCATGCACTGTTTTATTGTCAAACCATTTGACGTCAAATATATTTTCATTCTCCTCTGTGCAAAAATCAAACGCACCACATCCTTCTTTTTTCAACTCCGCATCACTTTTCAATTGACATCCAGGCAGTCTGGCAATCCTTACGGTTCCAGATGCAAATATTCCCAGCTTTTTAAGTTCACAGAATAATTTATAAGACGTGAACCAATTATCTGTAAAAACTTTATAATTTAAGTTTCTGGGTAATGTCTCTACAAGTCTAATGACAATGTCACCACTGATTCCAAGATTAGTCTCTTTCACGGTCCCTTTTCCCCTGTATATTTCAAAATCATAGATAATACCGCTGACTCCAGCTCTAGCAAATATCTTTATTCCCCATTTATGTGGTTTATTCCGAATAAACTGTTTGAGGGAACTCCTTCCCTTGAACGGCACCATGATTTCGTCTACCGAATTGTATTCTTCTTGCTCAATTTTGGACATATTTAATTTTAGGGCATCTATGACAGGTCGTATTTTAAAAAGTTTGTCATAATCTGGGTGATCACGGGTCAACATATTTGTATTGTCATTGCAATGGATTTGAGTTCTTAGTTTATCAAATCTGTTTCTCGACATAGTATCAGCTATAGGTGAATAACGAGTTTCTTGTGCCCAATACATTCGATAGCTAGGCATCCTGACTATACCAGACATAATATTTATTCCAAGGAATTGAGAGATTTCTGTGAATGTGGTGTTGATACATGCCCCCGTTTGTTGTGTAGAATACAAATTTGTTTGATCAGTAATATGTTGAATTAAATTGTCATCAAAAAATAGCTTGAAATATGACAGTGGAGTTGAATCATTTTCCTTTTCGTTAGTAAATATTACGTTACATTCAGAATTTACGAAAGGAAGATCTGCTTTTTTCCACTTTGGAGCAATTTGTACAGCAGGCGTTGGGTGCTGGTTCCGAAACGTAATAATAGGTAAATCGTCTTCAGGGTCAAAGTCTTGTTGCATTTGTCTGTTAGGTTCATGTCCATTTTCATCAGATAGTTTATCTGTGTCCACTTCTAAGTTAGAATTAGATAACACTAGTTCTTCTGGAGAAGGTTCTGGAGGATCGGGATCATATTCCTCTTGTAATCGAAGGAACGTTTCTTGATCGAAATCATCTTCATCGTTGTCGGTTACACAATCTAAATCCGACTCGTCCCCTTGTAGCAACATCAGCAAGTGTTTTTCTTCCTCTTCCGTAAGTCCTACGCACCGACCTACGGTCGGCATCTGAAATATTCAAAATATGAAAATAGTAGATTACAGTGGCCCACTGACGCCAATTGGAATCATTATTAAAGTGGCGTTAGGCCCACTGATTCCATTTGACATCATAACATTCTAAGTACATAGTTTCAACAATTTTACTATGATTTCAATAAAAAAACTCATTTTGTATTACTAATGACCTAATAATGCTATTTGTATATATATTTAAACACATAAAATATAAACTTACCTTGATTTTATTCAAGAACAAACAATAATTAATTATTACACACAATACTGTAAACGTTGAATTAACCTAAAAATCGAAATGTCAATCGATATTTCACAAACTGGTATGCGTGTCGCCATCTGTGATCTATTGGCTATAATATATTGCCTGGGATTTCTATTTCTATTTATTTTCAGTTTTCTGTCGTGGCTTTAGGCAATATATTCCAATTGGAGTCGCTGGGCTGGAAAGGGTTAATGTGCAATTTATTTTGAAATCCTACTACAAATAAAGTCAGAAAAAAATTAAAACGATTTTGGAATTTGGAAAAAAAATCCGTCTCTCTCCGAATTAGAACATCCTGATAAAATAACAATATTGACATATTTAAAAACTGTTCAGTGACGTAAACCTTTTTTAACTTTCCAGTACCTTTTCATTTTAATCTTTATGTATTCCGGAGTAGAATTAACGTTCAGAAGTATATTTGTCACTGAATATAATATTTATAGGACCGTTACAACAAAATCAAAAATCGAAAAATTTTTCAATAAATTTTCACTACCAGCCTACCGCCGCATCCGGAAGTTTTCATTATTTCATTATTACCTGAAGCCAAATTTTCACCTATTATAGAATTTTTGCATGCTTGTATAAACATTTTATGTTGCCTTGCTGGACTAATGCACTGATAAAACACTTACTCTGGAATGTTCTGATCAATGGGTTGACATTGAAGCTTTGTATCAGATAGCTCAGACTCATTCTTCACTTCTTCCAACAACCGCTGTATCTCTTCATACAACATTTTTGTTCGAAATATAATCTGACAGACGTTGGTAAAATTGAGCTTAATACGTTTGACCCAATTAACGTGACATTGCATATTATACCGAGTGTACCTATACCTGCGAGTATAGTACAAATGACGAATATAAAAAATGACAATGCCACTTCTCAGACACGTAATACCCCTGTCGCGTAGTACAGGAGGATCTTTGCAGAAAGAGGATATTTGTGACATTTAACCTTTGAAGTTTTAAGACACAAACACGAGATTTTTTGACACCATTTTTAGAATGCTAAATAAAGGTTTCTATGAGCTTGCAGCTTATTATATCTCATTCCGAGGTGAAATCCTCAATATAACTGGATTATTAATTATTTTGTCTTAAAAAGAGTGAATACTATAGTTGTAGTCACCGTTCTAGGTAAAGTAAACAGATCGAGTCTCCGTACCATGGGCGCAGACTAATTTTCAGCGCATCTGCTACTCTCTCCAGTACGCATGAAGTGAGTAACAGTTGTTCGCTATTTTCATTATCTTCCTGGAAATACTCTAATATATTTAGCACGAGCTGTCGGCCTTCTCCGTTGGTCGTATTTCCGGGCATTGTACAATTTTATATTGAAGGTTGATAACATTACAATCCGAATTGCACGCCGATATCAAGTAAGTTGTCACTCTGAGAAATATGATTGAAAGGCAATCATAGACATAGACATAGACAAAGTTTTCGAGTCGGAGACACACAACTAAACAACGTATGTCTTTGAGCTTGCCGAACAACGATACTGGTAGTCTTACTTTGACCCGCCAAGAACGGTGACTACAACTATACCTTTATAAGCCATTATGACAACGTACTTGTCTATTATATAAATTATTTTATCAATAATTGTAACTGGTATGTATCTCTTGTCTTCGTATTGATCTCCATAGTAAATTTTCGGAATTGTAATATTTTTCCTAAAATTCAGCTTCTTATTTTCCAAAGTCACGATGGCATGGTCTTTTAACTTATCAAGTAGAGTCGCATACTTTTCAGTTTGTTGCACTTCCTTTTTTAGGCTGTATACTACTGATTTTAATTTTGTTACATATGGCCACTGAATTTCGAACATTTTTAAACGTTTCACCACTCAATTTCGAGCATTTTTAAACGTCAAATGACAACTAATGTGTACAGGGCGTTAGGTCTGTGTTTCAAGAAACTTCGGCACGGATTTTACGTATCTTGAAAAGTGACATCATGTCGATTTTTTGACATTAGCACTTACTAGCTGATGGACACCTGATGTGAACTCTTTTTGTAGTTGTACGTGTAGCCTAAACGGTCATAATGCTTCAGTTAACAATGTTTGGCTCTTATATGATGTAAAATCTGCTTCAGAGATGGCCGTATTGGTGGTGTTGTAAGTTGCATATATAGCTAGAAGAATTTTTGTGCTAATAATATGTGTTGATGATAATTCCGTTGCTTTCTTGTCTCAATTACACTTACTTGAGATTCAAAGCCAGAAATTAGTTGCGCATCCACTTTTTCTTATTCATTCTGGAAATTACATACCTATGCAAATTTGCTAAATTACAAAAATGAGAGAGATAAGAGAAGAAAATACCTGGTTGGTAAAGAAACAGATGAGAAAATATGCTACAGACAGGAATATTTATGGAAGTGAAAAGGTATTTTTTATTTCCAGTTATTTACAGTTTTTAGAAATTTATTTTGCGATGTTAATAGAAAATACAACTCAGCAATAGATGTAAGGCATTGCGAAAATGTATGTATTTTCTCACACAGTAAATATCTCTGATCTTATATATATGCAGACCACTACACATAATCATCCATATGCGATCTTGCTATTCAACCAACTTTCTTCTCAAAGATGTAAGCTGCAGACTACTCGGCTTTACAAAACATATGCAACCAACAATGCATGTAGTTGAGTTATTCCTCCACAGATGGACGCTCATAGCGGTCATAACGAGCAAACTAAAAACTACTTAGTTTACAAGATGACATTTTATTATTTTTTACGTTTTATAGTTTTTACATAGTACCCGAGCAGATTTCCCTTCCTTCTAGTAAATGAAATTTTTTGGCTGCCCATATTTATAGTCAACCCTTGAGAGCTGAATGCCAATCAACTCTTGAATTTTAAACGAAATTGAGATATATTTGTAGGCTGTAAAGTTTTCAATGCTTCCAAAATTTTCATAACGTCCAAATACTTGAATTTTTTCAAGATGCTTGAGAACTTGATAATTTTTAGGCTTCAAAACTGAAGATTATAAAAATTTCGAATAGTGCAAGTATTTTGAAGACTTTGATAACCTTATGCAAACATTGATATTTCGAAAGTATGTATACAGATTGTAACAAAAGTTTGGAACGCATCAAATGTTTGACGAATGTCTCATCTAATTTTTTTAATAATTGGTAGGTTGAGGTTCGAAACCACGACGGATCCGTTGATGATATATGCCATGTTACCAAATCTACAGTTTTTCAGAAACTAATAGCAACTTTTGTTTTTTCTTATGGAATGTATACGTTTTATTTAATATTGGTATTCTGCGAGAACTTCTGAATATTTTTTATCAAACATACTTTGACGTAGACCTTGGTTTTAGTTAGGTAAATCATATTTTTATTAAATCTACTAACAAAACTCAATGGACTTTTCAATGTCAGAAATGACAGGAAATTATTTATTTTTTATGTAAAAACCTATAAAGCGTCAAAAAAAACTATAAAACGTCATCTTACAGACTAGGTAGTTTTTAGGGTGCAAACAGTCATTCCACGATTGCTCACTAGGATCATAGAGGAATGACTCAACTAAACTACACGCATTGTTGGTTGCATATATTTTGTGAAGCCGGGTGGTCTGTAGTTTTTATCTCTGAAAAGAAAGTTGGTTGAATAATAAGATCGCATCTGGATGATTATGTGTATTGGTCTGCAAGTGTATAAAATCAGTGATATTTGCTGTGTGAGAAAATCATTGTCCTTTCTGAAGACAGGTTATGCTCAAAGTTATAAATTACGAAAACTTTTGGGGAGAATTACGGGAAATCACCACCACCGCGCCCGAGTTGTGTGTTATTACTGTTAGCATGTATATGACTTGTAAGTCGATAGTGTACGTGTATAGTGAATATAATTATTATTTCTTATATCTCTAATTTTTGAAATTCATCAAATTTGCATAATATGTAATTTCCAGAATGGATAAGAAAAAGTGGATGCGCAACTAATTTCTAGTTTGGAATGTATTTGAGACAAAAAATCAATGTAATTATCATCAACACATATTATTAGCTCACAAATCCTCATTGTGCACCTATGCAGTGCCGTTTCCTTCTAGCTATAGCATAAAACTTGCTGCGCTTAGACCTTCAGTAATGTCATCTCTGAAGCAGATTTTAGATCACATCAGACAACATTGATAACTGAAGCCTCATGACGTTTAGTGCTAAGTTAACATCTTGAAAAACCTACATAATACAAAAAACAATAGAGAGCATAGTACGGCGCTACAGGCAGTCAGGCTGGTGGAGCGTATAACCAGCAGATTCACCCACGACAAGAGCACTGCAATCTTTTTTCTGGATGTCGCGAAAGCCTTTGACAAAGTGTGGCACCCAAGGCTCCTCTATAAATTTATTCAAAACGGTTTCCCTTTTTGGCTATTAAAACTACTCAAATCCTTCCTAGAAGGAAGGAAATTCAGAATTAACAGTGTATTTTCTACAACACGGCACATTTGGGCCGGAGTTCCGCAGGGATCGGTCTTAGGACCACTCTTATACTTGATTTTCATTCACGACGTCCCCCATCCCAGCGACTGTGAAGTCTACCTCTATGCCGACGACACCGCATCAGTAGCCCAGTCATGTTCTGGTGACATAGTCCACGACAGGCTGCAAGAAGCGGTAGACGAGGTTTTAGAGTGGACGAATCGTTGGCTACTCAAAATTAATTTTTCAAAGACACAGGCTATCTTTTTGACAAAAAAGCCTCGTGGTGCCTTCTCAGAGATTACTTTGGATGATGTTTCGATACCATGGGCTAACAAAGCCAAATATTTAGGCCTTACACTCGACAAGGATATGACTTGGCAGTCACACATTGAACAACTGAAAATTCAATTCCATATCACATTTCGGCAATTGTATCCTCTTGTACTCAAAATTGAGTTTGATAAGATTCGGATATACAAAACCATCATCAGACCTGCAATAACCTACGCATGTGAGGCTTGGTGTTTTTTAGCTAAGTCACATGTGCGTAAACTACAAGTTCTACAGAGTAGAACTCTCAGAACATTAACTAATGCCCCATGGTATGTATCAAACGACACTATCCATAGAGATCTTGATATCCCCTGCCTTAGAGATTACATCTTAGGTATGGCATAACGGCGCTACCAGCAAGCGGAATCGCACAGCAACCGTTTGTTGCGTGAAGCAGTGGATTACTCAGTCGAGGAGATACGCAAACATTGCAGGCCGCGACTCGCACTGTCCTCTACAACTACTTGTCTGGTTTCTGGGCCACCAGAACCAGACCTGACAGACTGGCGGCAGACGCACGCGAAAAAAAAAAAGATAATACTGGCCGAATTCGGAATTAATAAGCACACGAAATCATACAAATCGTACAATACAGGCATGGACTTGTCACGAGCCGCTAGGCCTAGGCGATGTAGTCAAATCATCGAATATCTTCGGTGATTTCCCATATGCGAAGAATCAGCTTATGTGGCACATAAATGTCAGGCAAAGAGAATAAAAATATATCTGGTCTAGTACGAATAATAATAGTACTTTTGTCATTCTTTTGATCGCTATGCATCAGAAATATTTCTCTTATATAGGGAACAAAAATTATTCAATCGGTAGATTTTGCTTTAACATCGGTAGTTCGGTAAACCAGGACCAAAATCGGTGGATCTACCGAAAAATCGGTAGACCTGGTAACATTGGGGCACTGGGCTATGCATTCAACATTTTACTTATATCCAGGGTTGCTAGGCGGGTTACGGGCATTTTCCAAGAAAGAATTGAAACATACCTTCCTTCCGTACGAAAAAGTTTTCCCCTTGAACCTGCTACTATTTGAAATACAACTTCTCTAAAAAAAAAACAGGTTACTTTACTTGTTTCTTCTGTGTTTGTATATGTACACTATTTTTCTACAATCATTCAAAAAATAAATACTCCTTTATTGTTGCTAAAAATGGAGAGAATACCTTCTCTGAACGATACTTTCTACTTTATTTTCCCTGTAATGCCTTTAATCACTGTGCAAAGCGACCAAATAAATAAGGCTCATAAATCTATTGAGAAAACCGTCAATCAGGCAACGCTGCATGTTTTCGTCATACATTAGGACTCCGTACGCCACTGAATCAGACGCGCGCCGTGTCTCGGGTTATGTAACATAATAAAGATGGGTAATATGGAATGCCCTACTGACATTACAGTATTACAGTGACTATGACCTAAAGACTGAGGTCCTCCGGACGGAAAAGCAACGACGAATAGTAGTAAAACCAATAGAATGTCAAAAAAAATCGGCGTAATGTCACTTTTCAAGATACGTAATTGCTTTATGTGAAAAAAGTACGTTTTATTGTTATTTCGAAAACTATGAGGTCTACATCCAAGTATGTTTGATAAAAAGTATTCAGAATTTCTTGCAGAATATAAATATCGAATAAAATGTATAGCATTCCATAAGAAAAACAAAAGTTGCTATCAGTTTCTGACAAGCTGAAAATTTTGCAACATCACGGATATCATCAACAGATCCGCCGTAGTTTCGAACCTAAACCTACCAATTTAAAAAAAAATAAATGAGTCATTAGTCGGATATTTGATGCGTTCCAAACTTTTGTGACAGTCTGTATATTCTTATAATAAAGAAAATCTTTGCTAGTTGAGTAAGTCATTTCTCTATATGATTTTGGGGGTGCCGCTAGCCACCAGCACCACGATTTTGGTGTGCTGCTAGCCCCACGATTTTGGGGTGCCGCTAGCCCCACGATCTTGGGGGTGCCGCCAGCCCCATGATTTTGGGGTGCCGCTAGCCCAAGGATTTTGAGAGTGCCGCTAGTCGCACGATTTTGGAGGTGCCGCTAGCCGCCAGTCCCATG